GAATTCATTGTACCACAGTCCGGTTAAAGTTAGTCAAGAACTAAACTGCATTGTGTAACAGATGAGTTTAGACTCAGTCCATCTGAAGTCTGTTTGTTTTATCTGAACTCTGGTCTGTTCACAGGGTTCCAGAACTATGTTGTGTCCTACAATACTGACATGACATATGGCACAAGTAACACCAATTAACTGGTTTGCTATTCATAAGAACAACATGTGTCGTGAAAACCAATCTCCAACATGATCCAATAAAGTTTAAGGAAGTTCTTCAACAATATGTCTGGAAACTTTTTTACGTGGAAGATTGAAGGACACAAACATTAAAATGCAACACATCTTTCCAGGCTCTCTGCTCCAAGCTGTTCGCTTGAGGCCGAACCGCAGTGATCTGGACCAATCAGCACACTGTGAGGGAGGAACCGCAGGCAGCTACGGAGAAGTGACTGTTTTAGTGTTTGAACTGACTGTAAGGCAGAAGTTGTAATTTTGTAATGTTCATTACTGCTTTGCAATGTCTGCGTCTGTGCAATGTATTGGATTGGATTGTCTATAAAATGTCGATATAACGATAAGTTCAAGCACATCACATCCTGTTAGTTAACTCATCACGTCCTGTCAGTCAGATGAGATAAATACACAAATTCAAGGAGGCCATATAGTTCGCTGGAGGAAGTTGTTGAATTTCATTATCTCGATATTAAAATTTATATATTAAGGATTATTTGATTAGAACGTACTTTAATAAGTTAATAAGATTCAAAAAGCAAGGAAAATGTATGTACAAGGTAATCCATGCCTTTGCAATGCTAATTCAAGCACAATTCTTAGTTTGTAGAACAATAACAAGCTTCTCTGTGTTTTTATCATCCTGAAGTTTTCGCTCCATGTCAGTGTGAAGGAGTTAAGTAAACCAGTAAACCATTCCTCAACTACAGTGACGACTCTTTTCTTCATTCTCACTGGGGTTTAGCTTGGTGTTTGGTCTGCGATTCTGACACATAAGTATTTGTAAGAGGAAATGTTTGAATGAACCATCTGTCTCTCATATGACGTAGTAGGAGAGCACCAGAGAGGAAACACAACACAACAAGTCACGGTCTGAGGAGCTTTGAAAGCTAATTAGCATGTAGGTAAGATGATTCTTGCTGCCTCTAATCAAGACTCTGACTAATCACCTGCAAAATTTAAAAAGAAATAAAATAAAATTGGCAAAAAAAAAGAAAAAAAAAGTTTTAATGCCTTAAAGCCCTGTGACAAAAATGTAAATATAAACTCAACTGACCAATAAGTTTCAGTGGGAGATGGCCAACTTCAGCATCTGCTGTAGTTTTCTCTCTCTGCGCGGCAGCTTTCAGTTGGCGGTCCAGCTCTGACGCTACGAAGTCCGCAGCCTGAGAGAATTCACGTTGCGACATTCTGAACTATCTGTGACTCGCTCAAACGAGTTGGCGCTCTGCTGGGTCTTGGTGGATCAGGCATGTGTAAATTCATCTGTATTACAAGTTCTTTATTGGTGTCTTCTCTCAGGGCATACATGCGTTGTCTGAGTACATTAACACACTCCAGGGAAAACGCCTGCACACAGCTCAACAGTCCACAGTACGTCCTGGCCTTCACTGCTTGCCTGTACAGACCAGTTAGCTTATCATCTCTCATAGTTTTGTCTTGCTGCAGCACTTGTGTCTCCAAATGCACGGCATTTGATGAACAGGCAAGCTTGATTGCCTTTGTGTGCACAGCCCATCTCGTTGGGCACAATGACAGGGAGTCACAGACAATATCGTCTGACAGAAACTGCGTCTTGCCATCTTTCCTTGCCTGTTGCAAAATCAAATCCAGCCCTTTGATCGCTGCAATGAACATACAGCACTGCTTTCAGTTTTGCCTCGAAATCTGCTAAACAATCAGACTGCTTGTGCCACTGAAACAAAATGCTTGGAGGCGATCCATGAGCAAGTTCAGATGCATAAAGATATATCTGATGCAGGAAAACATGTTTCTGCCAATGGTATAAGGAGCATTGTAGAACACGAGAAAAACATTTGCGACTTAGAAGTTCTTGTCCCTGAACTGTAAACTACAGAAAAACTGCTCTGACACATCTACATCTGTGATTCCATCAGCTGTTAGTGCAAAGAATGTGCGTTCCCTCGCCTCTGACATCATTTCTCTCTGGACTGCATGTACCAAAGATTCATTTTTGAATGGTTTCGGAGATCCAGATGTCTCTTTGCTGAAGCCACTCACCTGCCCTGGATAAATCATACGTCTGCTCCATCATAAGCTGCCAGACAACTCCATCCAATGGAAGTCTCGTGTGTGTCTCTTTATTGATCTAAAAGGCAGATCCAAAATTGTCATAGCAATTTTCTGGCCAGTTGAAAAATCCTCCACTCGTGAAGGGACTGATCCTTCCTTCAATGTGGCTGAAACCTTTCCTTCTTGCCTTGCGGTAAACAAACACAGTTTCTCTCTGACACATGGTGCAGCCACTGCCACTTAGAAAACCAGCCTGGTTCCAGTGATTGTTTGAAAGTGTCCGTCTCAAATCTCCTCTCTGGAAAGCTTGAGTTTGGCTGACATGGATTCTCAAATCCAGCAGTGGGTGATCTAGATGCAGACTGAGTTGCATTAACGAAGGCCAGTGCTCCTGCTCTTGAACTGCTGCAGCAGTGAAACAGCTTGGTGAGGTGGAGGAAGATTTAGCAGGTGTAGCAGACACACTCGCACAGTGACTGGACACCACGTCCTGGTTGCTTCTGGGCTTTTAGAAACATTCAGCTGACCCTGACTGACACTTTGATCTGATGTGAATTCATTAACTTTGCACATTTTAAACATCTTTTTTTCATATATTTCCTGACAGGCACCTCTCAGACCTCTATACTGTTCAAAATTCAACACAAATGTTCAGATGCAGCCTCTTAGATATGATAATATAACAAACTATTTACACAGTGTGTTTCCATTCCTTGTCAATAGGGGGTGCTGCGGCTCCTTCAGCATCTCCTATTGACATAACATGCTAAATATTCTTTCACTAGTTTTCTAATGCTGCAGCTATATTATGTAAAGGCCAATCAGTGTTTAAATTCATTTTTAAATATCAATAAGTTGCATAGAAGTGTGTGATGCCATATGGCAACATGTCCCTTACTCTCCCTGTAATGCAGCCCAGTGGGAAAACCCTGACACAAACACAGCCAGGGAATTTAACAGTAAAAACACATTGAAAAAATATCCCCTCCACACTGATTTCATTCATTCACATTGCTGAAGCCTCGTATCAGCTTCATGTAAACTTTGGAATATATTTGCCGTGGATTTTGTCCCCCATCATTTACACTGGAAGGTCATTAGGAAGGGGTCTTTACATAGACAGTAAGAACAGTTGATATAGGCACCTGACTATTGTTTTCAGACACACTTGAACAACTGTGGACCTGTCCTTTAAGACAAATGTAGTAGAAGTGATTTTAGGGATTAAGAAATGAACACTGCCAAGACTGTGGTGACATCAGTCGTCCTTATCTGTTAATAAAACAGCAAGAGAGTCCAAAAGAAGAGCCGGTTTGTGAGGGGAAATAAAGCAGCTACAGTGAGAGGGTGGTGATGTCAGTCCCTCCCTCTGTGTCTGTGAAACACTTACCGCCGTGAATTCGAGCTCTCACTCCTTCCTGCATGGAATTCAGTGTGAAGTCAGTCTCACACTCGCCTCCTACAGTCTGCACAGCCACTGTTTGATAGAGATCAGCTTTCTCTTCTTTTCTGCAGCTCTGGCCCAGCGAGCCTCACAACTTGTGCCACGTTTTATAGAAATCCCATCTCTGAGTGATGGATGAGAGGTTGCCATAGCAACACAACACATCTCTTGGCAGAGTAGTAGGATGCCCTCTCACCCAAAACAGCCTCTTCACTCAATGCTCTAGGGATAGTTGAGCTTGTGTGAAGATGTTAAGCACACACAGGTGAAGTCTCACACACAGTGCAGTGTTACATAACATAAATAATTTGAACAGCCTCAGCCTGACTGCTCTCTAATTCTTAATACTGCACCAATAGGACAGATGGACAATCATTCAATGGACAGGGATGAATCTGACACATCGTAACAAATCCTCTTATTTTTTTTATAAGGTTCTCTCTGTGTTCTGAGTGGTTTGGAGATATTGAGCTTGAAAGTTTTTGCATTCCAAATAGCAAAACTGATGTGGAACAGGTCAGTTAAATGTATTCTACACATACAATATCAAAATCCTATCAAAAATTTAAATGGGTTTTTTTGGGACAGGTCATGTAGAACCTCGTAATCTTGAGAACTTACTTTCTGCCTTGAATTATAAGGTTCTATCTTGCAAAACATGAAAAGATGCAATGATTTATTTCTTGTTTTGTGATGAATCATTTTTTTCTTATTCAAAAAAAGCATTGCAGGTTAAGGGTAAAGGTCAGTGCTCAATATTTTTCCAGTGCAGAGGCCAATTAGATATAGCAACCGCTAGTTTAAGTTTTCTTTAGGTTAGACAGCAGGTAAGTGTAGCAGCTCAGGATGAAGGTTTTGTTCAAGTCTGATGCACCAAAATATCTTGTGTCTAATTGTGGGGGAAGAAAGAAAAACAGATGGATGAATGAATGAAATTTGGGTTTATTGTGCAATTAAAAAGCTATCAATTAAAATGTAGACTATTTAATTACCTTTAAGGCATTAGGTGCCTAGCGTGCCAACATGTTTACAGTGAAAATAAACTCCTCAGCAAGATGTAAAACAATTGACAAGAGACTGAACTTTATTCTGTACTGCCGTCCTTCTTGTTCCTATAGACCTCGTGTTACAGGACATTTTCTCATCTCCACTTAGTTCTCTGTCTTGTCTGCTCCTATTCCCGCCGTCACTGAGCAGTGAGGTGACCTGACAGAGGTCGTCTTGTGTGCATTTCTAAGTGCTGATTTGCTCAGAAGTAGAACCTTATAAAACCCAATAAGATTTCAACTTTGGAGATATAACCTTTTTGTTTCCTCATTAAGAGGTCCAAAAATAAATACGACTTAAAAAACACCTCAACAAAAATTTCAGGTAGAAGGGGACGAAATGGCAGTTACCAGCTTGAATGAGGAGGCTCTTTATGACTTTTTGGTTTAATGTAAGAAATATGGCACCGGATCATCACATCACAGATCATCACCATGAGAGCATCATGTCATTGCCCCACACCAAACCTGCACAGGCTGCCATCAATCTGCCTGGAAAACCCGTCACAGCACTGAGAAAGTTCTTCACATTCAAAAATAATCAGCATTGAATTACAGTTACACAGACAGGAACTAAGATTGCCCTGAAAAAGTACAATGAATTACTGGACTTCACTTTCTATTTCAAGACACCCAGTTTTCTTCTTGTGTATCCCCCTGCAGGTCGAGGTCAGATCACACCGTGGTGAAGGTGAAGTGAGTGACATGTTGGTAGTTCTCACCGGGGCGCAGGAGACAGTCAGGAAATGAAACCTGACAACACACACACACACACACACACACACACGCACACACACACGCACACGCACACGCACACGCACACACACACACACACACACACACACACACACACACACACACACAAATGGACTTTAATACAGAGATGTTCTGATAATTTTTTCCTTCCTCTTTCCACCCAATACTAATTCTGATACCTGAGCTTGTTTATCTGTCAACACCAAGAACTGATCTGATACCATTGCTTTTAAAAGGAAATGTCAACAGCTGTATGCTCCTAACCCTGTATGGATGTGATATGATTGATATTGTTGTATGTCAGGGCTCAAACATGAACGCTATGGAATCTTTCTTTGATCTAATTTGACTGTCACTCATGAAAATAATTAAACTTAGGAATAAATAAGCTTCCTGCACTAGCTGTCCTGACAGTAGTACCCCTTGAAATTAAAGCCTTGCATACTGTACACGCTATCTTTTTTATTGGTGGGTCTTTTTCTAGTGCGACATGTTGCCAAATTGCTGACATTTTGGTAATAGCTCATGTTACACTATTTACCACCAATCATTTCTTCTTCGCCGCTCTAGAACAGTAGCTGTCAGTTACTGCACAGTGCACTGTTTTAGAGCACCATAGAAGAACTGATTTCCAGGAAACCCGATTTTATATCTGGCTGTGAAACTATCAAGATTATTAATAAATAACGTGGTATCTGAGGCCTTTCTGATACTAGCATCATTATCGGATCAACTCTACTTATTATTATTATTCCACGACTTACATGAGATACTTGTCACTTGCCCTGCTCTGCTAACTGTTTCTCATCCTTAAGGTGCTGCTCTGGGTCCAAGGTGGCTGGGTGGGGGATCAGAGCTGGTAAGATTGGGTAACAGTGGTTGCTGTATAGGTTTGGGTAACGGCCATTGTAGTTGACTGTTTAAACTGAGGGAATGTAGGACTATGTCATTTGTATGACTTTATGGTATTGTCTTTTGACTTGTGTTGTTTTGTTTCAGATGTCAAGGAAGAACCTTGATCTTAAGAGGGGGGGTGGGGGGTGGGGGGGGTGACACCTCTCTCATTGTCTTGGAGTTTGTCCTTGCCCACACTGGCAGGCAATCGGTTGGTTGGCATGGGAGGGTCGTCAGTTGATGCTATTCACCTGGGCCTTCCAGGGTATAAAAGCTGGCCTGTGTGTTCACTTGTCCTCTTGTTTTGCTTTTGCACATACAACACCACCACAGCACATGCACTACTCGTACATGCACTGCTGTCATGACTAAACTGGCGAATACCACACCTCATTACTTATTTGTCTTATGTTTTAATTATAATAAATTGCTTGTTTTTCAGTAGAACTTATTGTCACACTCACTGAGCGTGTATGTGACAGGGTGCATATCCATGGGAAAGTATTCTAAACAAAGCTTCATTTACTCACATGCTTGTTCTGGAACTTTCGACCATATTCCACAGGCTTTTTCAGCATGTGTAAGTAAACCTTGAGTTTAGTATATTTTACCACCACCCAGTTTACTTTGTGTGAAACCCCTAATAAAGTTGTAACTAATGCTTTCATTATTGCTCTTCATGAATTAAATTATGAGTTAAGATACATTTACAGAGAAAATTGCAATTTCAATCTGTCATAAATGTTCTATAAACGAGATTTCAAACATTAATACAACAGCAAACGACTATTTTAGAACGAAGCCACACCCCTCTGTGTGTGTTTCTCTGCTCGTTGTTTTGGTTGCCGGTCTGGTCACGCGCTGCGTGTTAGTGCACGTACATGTGCATGTTAGTACATCTGAGTCCCTCCTGTTAAACCGTTAAACCCTCCCCATGTTTATAAACACACAGGCTCCGCCCACAGGTGAGCCGGTATAGTGCAGTATGAGGCGTTCAGGTGACATTGACAAGTGACATTCCAGAATTTCCTCACTGAAGAAGAAACCACGTTTTTTTTTTATCCTAAAAGGCCCAAAACAAAGAGAGAGAGATCTGACCAGAACACAGGACTACCAGCTCAAATCCTCGCCGGCCCGGGGACCGTCAAAACATCCGGAAAGTTTTAGTTTGAGTTTTAAAGCAGACAAATGTTGCTATCGTCAGCTGGCTAACAGTCAGCATTGCTGTGGAGCATATGACAGCAATGCTAGCGTGGGCTAACGGTTTTCTGTTTGTGATTGTTTTTTTTGGCTCTCGTGTTGACAGGGAAACTTTCTTCAGTTGTGCTACTTCTAGTTGTGTTTACTGGATGATTTCACTGTGCTCCGTAACACCTTGCTGACTGAGAACGTGAATGGAAGTGAGGGGGGGCTGTGGCCAAAAGGAGGCTGGACATTGTGGCAGAAGAAGCACTAGTTTTGGTCTGAGATGCTGGTGGTGTAGTGCAACATCTAGTGGCCGTGACGATCGTTTACGGAACCTTTAATAATATTAGAAAACCAAATAATAGTTGATTTTAACAGCACGTCTCCCCAGACAACAACTATGACTTCCTCTCAATCATCATAATCGTCATCATCATCATCATCATCATCATCATCATCATACCTGGTTGACAGCGTCAGGCCAATTCTGTGTCTCCAGGCAGAAGGAGCTGTGCTTCCCATACCTAGCCCCGCCCTTTCCTGCGATGGAGCCATCCAGGAAGTTGGCGGTGTAGAACTGGACTCCTGGTTGGCTGGTAGAAACTTCCAGGACACGCCCACTGGCTGGGTGACACACTCTGAGGTTAAGAAAGTTTCCTGTCAGACGTTATTCAAGACAAACGCAAGTGTGTATGTGTTGTTTGTTGTGTATAAGTGTGTGTGTGTGTGTTGTGTATAAAGTGTGTGTGTGTGTGTTTGTGTGTGTGTGTGTGGTGTGTGTGTGTGTGTATATGTGTGTGTGTGTGAGAGAGAGAGAGAGAGAGAGAGAGAGAATATGCAGCAGACCTGGCAGCGTGTCTCTCTGTCCAGCCGTCTCCAGGGGATGACAGACAGAAGTTGTGGTCAAACCCTGGGCCTGGAACTTCCTTCAGCCGAGAGCCAATCAGAACAGGCTTTCTGAGGTCAAAGGGCGTGCCCTCTACTGCTCTGATCTCTCCTGTGGATGCATCAAGTTATTGGTTGGGATCTTATATCATATCTGGCATTCAGAATCCAAGCACATATTTAGATTTCTTTCAGACACACAAGATTTAAGAAATGTGACGCAGCATGTAATTATCAGTGCAGGTAATGAAAGATCAAACTGTAACTTATGTTAGTGAAAACACTGCAATATCCTCTACTTTCTATGTAGACTGAAAAAACGCAAGTCACAGCATGTTCTACCTCCTCCAGCCTTAACTTTATCCTCACACAGAAATCATGCATTAATTATGCACAGTGTCGACTTCACACCTGACTGCTGCAGCAGACAGGAGAGGACACAGATTCAAGTGTTTCTGGTAGGGTTATTGCTCTGTGCTTTTGTTCAGTGGTTATAAATAAGAAATGACATTAACTGAACACTAACAGCCATCTATAACATGACTGAGCGCTGCTTTTATTCTGAAGGTCACAGGTCTAATCTTACCATGAACGCCAAGTCCTCCTCCAATTATTATTTCACCTCACAGTTCATTCACCTGTGTGCCTGGTTTTATCAATTGTACGGATTTCCACATCAGTATGTTCTCCTTCCATATGACCGAGCACTGACACAAGCTCCATAGGATTTTTATTATAACACTAAACAGATTCTCTATTCATGTTTCGATCAATGAGGACCCAGGCCAGGGATCAGGAGTAGCCTCAGCTCTAAAAAGCCTCATTTTGCTTGGTTGTCTTCCAGGACAGTAAGACATACAGTCCATAGTATATTATGTAGCTATACATAGTAGATTATGTCTATATTATGCTATCCATTTTTAAAAACACTGCTTTCGTGTGAAAATCACCTGCTGAACAAATCATTGTCTAATTGTCACTACATTATCTGAAACAATCAACATAAATACAAGATACTGAACAGCTGTGCTGTATCATAGGATGTACTGTAGTATATTAACAGAATTCACCATAATTGGTAGCTTGCTGTGCTGTATGTTCTCTACATGTCTTTCAGTGTCAGGTCTGTGGAGAGGGTGACACTGTCTCTTTAAGAAAGAAGGTTTTTCGGGGTGAATGACTCCCCACTTTTGTATTTATGTTGACTTCATGCAGCAAAAGAAAGATATTGTCCGTCACTTTTTTCCTGCAATTGCTACAATCAACATTTAGTGATCACAAGCAGTTAGAGACAACAAGGAGTTGTTTTCTTAACTTAGCTGTCATAGATTCAACCCTGACTCAGCAGATACAGAACAATGTAACCCTGCAGGGTTTCATCCTGTCACACCTGTGTTCAGCCTCCTGCTCTCTGTGATGCTACATGCTCACCATCATTCCCAAGCTGCTGCACTGCAGTGATAAAATGATTTTCAAACGTTGTGGTGTCGTGTGACAAAATCAACATAAATCCAGGTTAATGACAGCAGCTGTGCTGTGTGTTCAGCTACAGGCAATGAAGGTCAAAAGACAACCGTCTTAACGTCACTGCCTCACAGCCGTCACTGGGTCGCTCACATCACTGTTTTCCAGAAGCTTTAGAGAAGCTTGTGTTTGAGTCTGAACAGAGGGCTGAGATGGAAAGAAAAAACACAGATTTACTTTGAAAATAACTTCATCTCACCCTCAAAATCTCCTCCTGTTGGGGATTTAACAGGCAGAAAGCACAGGGTGGGAGTCAAGTACTGAGTACAGACTACTAATTTTAACTGTGCATGACACAGAATTTAATCCATATTTTAAAGCCATGCTCTAATTCAGCCTTTGAGGTGGATTTCCATTGTAACACTGATTCTGTGATATAAATAGACAGTCATTAGCTCCTCTGTCTCCAGGGGAAACCAAAGCTAATTGCAGAGTAATGAATGTTTGTCTGACAGAGCATGAAGAAACACACCCCCACACAAAAGTACAAGTGTTCATGTTTCCACATGTCTGTATGAACAGGCATTACAGCAAGCGTACACCATAATTAAAGTTTATACTGTACCAAGCACACAGAGTCATTCACACAAAGTAAATGAGGACTTCACAGTTATATAAAACTGCAACAAAGACGACAGGACCTGATCTCTGGACACAGACACAGAGAGGCTAGTGGAGAAGATCATTCTGCTGCGGAGCTGAAAAAAAAAGATTTCTGTCAAAGGAAAAATGTAAAGATTGAGAGGAACCATAATGTCAATGAATGTGTACTGTGTAGTTGAAAAAGAAAGAGAAATCAAAACCAGGTATAGTACTACTAGTATAGTAGAGGGTTTCAGCTGAAGCTGCTCACCAGCTGCTGGCTGTGTATATCACTACTGAACTTGTTGTTGTACAGCTGGTAACCAGCGGTTGTACCGGCAGAAGCTGATTTTTGTCATCCCAAACATTATGTGGTGAAGTGAACCTCATGCTTTCAGGAGCTGATGTTAACACATTTTGATGGGCACATCTTGTGGAGGCTGGATATGTTGACCTCACTTCCCTCTGAGTCACATACAGATGCCAGTTCCTCCTGGTTTGAATTCAATAATGCCAGTGAGTTTTCAAAGTTAATTTACTTAACTTTAATTTTTGCTTTTCTTGGATCAGCCATTTTTAAAGGCATGCTGGAGGGGATGGGGGTGGTTCCCTGCTTCACGTCTTGGATAGTGGATCACCTGACAGGTACAGTGGTGAGCAGCACTGGGTCTCCACAGAGAACTGTTCTGGCTCCATTCCTGTTCACCCTGTCCTGTCTGTTGGTGGCACCTGGAAGTCGGTTAATCTCCTCCCAGATCATATTCTTCATATATGTTTGTAATAATCTAAAACGTTGTTATCTTGATTGTTCTTACTTGTAAATATACTATGTATCTCTGTTCTGTCCGTATGACATCTATTTCAGTCTGTCTTCACACTTTTGTATTTCCAATGTAATGTGCTGAAGCTCAGAGTCTGAAGAAGAAAAAACTGTGGAACTATTCAAATACTTGACCTGGACTGTATCTTTACTTTATGGTTTTCTGCCTTGCTGTCAGAAACTCAGTCGGTCTCTTACAGAGGACGTTTAAATATAAATCAACGTCTGTTGCATTCAAGCCAAACGAGTTTACACATTGATGTCTCTGTAACTCACAGTGTGCTGGAGTTTTACATCAGGTGTCTGTGGTGACTTTCACAGGTTTGTGGTTGGTGTATTTAAACAGAATCAACTACAACATGAGGCCACAACTAAACAGGTGTTCCCTGATTCAATGTGATCTGTAAGCACCATGGAGCACACACTTTCCACATACATTCACATAAACAGACTTTCACACACTTTAAACTCCATTTACATAAATCACTTCCCTTTGCTGTGTTGTGTGTCATGATGTAAATGTCGTACCTGTAGGAATCGATGTGTCATCCACAGGCAGGTAGGACTGAGCACTGATGGACACATGATGGTCAAAGATATCTGCTGCACCCTGCGCACGCACACACACACACACGTCGGTCAAACTCACCTTCTAATCTGTTTCCTCTGTCTGCCCCTGCCTTTTAAACACTCCCCACTTCACACACACACACACGCACGCACACACGCACGCACGCACGCACGCACGCACGCACGCACAACCTTTGCATCGCCTGTCTTTCACCACCTGGCCACCAGAGGTCTCTGTCACCTTTGTCACCTTCCACACTCACCTGCTGCTCAGGTCCTGAATAGATTAAGACTGACTGACTGACTGACTGACTGACTGACTGACTGACTGACTGACTGACTGACTGACGGGCTGATGGTTTACCTTTAGTAACTAAAACAACGTCATCTCTCTCTGTATTCTCTCCTCCCCCTGTATTTCCTCCATCTCTCCTACAACAACTACAGCTCTGACACGTTGGATGATCTCACAGCTGATCACGTGCTCTTACCTGTCCAGCCAGGTTGAAGTAGGAGTGGTTGGTCAGGTTGATGGGGGTGGTTTTGGTCGACCTGGCTTGGTATTCAGCAGTAAGTGTTTCCCCCTGAACACACAACTCAGATCTTACTGAACTCACATCTGCAAACCATTTATTTATATTCAAAATCAATAAAATGTCTGTCTGGTAAAACTGTGGAAATGTTTGTTTCTGAGTTCTCCACCTTCTGTGACAAATACTGTTTTTCAAATACCTTTTTCATCCCAGGTTGTTTGGTTTTACCAAAAGTTTTTTGATCTCTTAATTAAACATTAAACTGAATCCTTCATAAGACAAAACTCCTCAGCTAGAAGCAAACCTCAACTGATGAACTGAAAAATGTCCGAAGCAGGTGTATTTACCTGTAGGGTGTAGGTGACAGAGACCTGAACCTCTCCAGGATAACCTTGGTCTCCATCCGGACTGGTAAGACTCAGTTGTACACCACCTCCCACTGCTGTAGCAAGCCAGACAGCCTGACAAACATGTACAGAGTATTATGCAGTATATACTGTACAGGATCATAAAGTAGAAGTAGTCATTTTTACAAGAGGTAATGTAAAATAAAAATCTACATTTACAGGAAGCACAAATGTAGCTACATGTTGTGGAGTAATAGTGTGAGAAGAACAGCTGCAGATATTCACTGGATACACAGCTATAACTCGTATATGAGGCTTCATCAGTCTGACTTAGAGCAATCAAGAGGTTGTCTTCCAAAGCTCTTCTTTCTTTTCCAAATCCAGTGTTCAACCTTGTTAACATCTATATGATGTTTTATATAATACAAGACATATGAAGAGTGAAATAATCATCAACACCATGACTGAGTGTTTCCACCTTGAACTGCAGTGAACCAATGACAGTCTCATAAACACAGATTCAGACAGCCAGGGTTTCATATGTCACAAACCTCAGGAACCAATCCTGCCAACTTGTGGGGATGGGGGGCGGGGCTAAATACACCTCAAACCTTGTCAGTACAGAGAGAGAGAGTTAGCATTAGCACAACCGCTAACACTGTGTTAACCTCTGTCAGCTACTAGCTAACAAACAACATAAACAAATAAAAGATGCTACCTATGCTAACTGTTCTGATCCGTCTGCTAGTCTCTGGTTCTGGTCTCAGACTCCTCCTCTGAGTCTGGGTCTGACTGAGGCTCAAACATGAGGCTGAGTCTCTCTGATGTTTCCTCCTCTAACCATCTTGATACTCTCTGCTCTTTCACCTGTCCACCTGGAGACAGCAGGTGATGGGCGGGGCTAAAGGCCTGATCCACATTTCTCAATCAGGAAGTAAGAGGAGATGAGCTTCAGACCCAGTTTTTGAGTTTTCTTCACTTTTATGTGTGACAACTATGTTTAACAAAATATGAATCATAGCAGAGGATTTTTGCAGAGTTCAAACATGTCTGGTGAGGAACTTTAAATAAATGATTTGATGTTTATGAGGCTAAATCTATTAAAAAGGGTGTAGATCAGAGACCCAGCAGAATGTGTATGATGTCAGTGTGCTGTGGTTTAGCACAATAAGAAGCTGTGACTGAGTGAGTTTACACCAGGCAGTGTTTGCTTCAGGCAGGTAAGAAAAATGTCATTTTAAGACTAGCAGCAATAAGTCATAGCACAGTGAGAGCACGCTAACCTGACAATGCAAGGGATTACGGGTATTTTGGAGATGATGTCTGACCATCCATAATGCTTGCAAATGCCTGGCATAAAAAACTGATCTCTCTAGACAGACGCTCATTTCACTTTATTCCTTTATGTGTTCACAGTAATATGAAAACAATTACAGACACAAACTGGTACATCTGTTAGGACAGACTGTCATGCCTCAGTCATTTACCTGCAACTGAGAAGTGATACATAGAAGATTTGTACAAATGTATTGGAGCTGATGAGACACAAACTCATTCTCTGAGTCTTACCTTGTTGAAGCCCCGCAGCCCTCCATGCAGTGCGTTAGGCCCGTTGTTGATATCTAGCTGGAACTCTTTTCCCTCCACGACGAAGCGCCCCCGTGCGATCCTGTTGGCCACACGGCCCACCACAGCTCCCAGGTACCGCTTATCTGACACATAACCTGACAACACAGCACAGGTTACTCCTCTTCACCTTCACCAAACTAACGCCTGGCTAACATTCACTTCACGTACACTCCCTCAGCCCTGGACATACAGTGGAGGAAATAATTATTTGATCCCCTGCTGATTTTGTAAGTTTACCCCCTTACAAAGACATGAACAGTCCATAATTTTTATGGTAGGTTTATTGTAACAGAGAGAAAAAAAACATTAAATAAAGGTTATAAATTAATTTGTATGTGATTGAGTGAAAGAAGTATTTGATCCCCTACCAACCAGCAAGAATTCTGACCCCCACAGAGCGGCTGTGTGCCCATGAGGCAGTCAAATTAGTCCTGTCCCGTTAGGAAAGTACTCCTAATCTCAACTCGTTATGTGTATAAAAGACACCTATCACAGAATCAATCTCTTCCATTCAAACCTCTCCACCACCATGGGCCAAAGAGCTGTCAAAGGACGTCAGGGACAAGATTGTAGACCTGCACAAGGCTGGAATGGGCTTCAAGAGCATCAGCAAGAAGCTTGATGAGAAAGAGACCACTGTTGGCATGATGGAAGAAATACAAGATAAAAGTCAATTGCCCTCGCTCTGGAGCTCCATGCAAGATCTCACCTCGTGGGGTAAGGATGATTCTGAGAAAGGTGAGGGATCGGCCAGAATTACACGGGAGGAGTTTGTTAATGATCTCAAGGCAGCTGGGACCACAGTCACCAAGAAAACCATTGGTAACACACTTCGCCGTGATGGATTGAGATCCTGCAGTGTCTGCAAGGTCCTCCTGCTCAAGAAGGCACATGTACAGACCCATCTGAAGTTTGCCAATGAACACCTGAATGATTCAGAGAAGGCTCTGGAGAATGTGATGTGGTCAGATGAGACCAAAATTGAGCTCTTTGGCATCAAATCGACTCCCCATGTTTGGAGGCAGAAAAATGCTGAATATGACCCTAAGAAGGCGGCACGGTGGTGCAGTGGTTAGCGCTGTCGCCCCACAGCAGGAAGGTTCCGGGTTCAAGTCCCAGCTCAGACACGGGGTCTTTCTGTGTGGAGTTTGCATGTTCTCCCCGTGCCTGTGTGGGTTCTCTCCGGGTACTCCGGCTTCCTCCCACAGTCCAAAGACATGCAAATGGGGACTAGGCTGATTGGTTACTCTAAATTGACCATAGGTGTGACTGTGAGAGTGAATGGTTGTTTGTCTCTGTGTGCCCTGCGATGGACTGGCGACCTGTCCAGGGTGTACCCCGCCTCTCGCCCGAAAAGGATGCTGGGATAGGCTTCAGCCCCCCCGCGACCCTACTAGAGGATAAGCGGTAGAATATGAATGAATGAATGAATGACCCCAAGAACACCATCCCCACTGTCAAACATGGAGGTGGAAACATTCTGCTTTGGGGCTGTTTCTCTGCTAAGGGTACAGGAAGACTTCACTGCACTGAAGGGCCGATGAATGGAGCCATGTACCGTGGAATCTTGGATGAGAACCTCCTGGCCTCAGCCAGAACACTGAAGATCGGTCGTGGATGGGTCTTCCAGCATGACAATGACCAAAACATACGGCCAAGGCAACAAAGGAGTGGCTCAAGAAGAAGCACATTAAGATCCTGGAGTGGCCTAGCCAGTCTCTGGATCTTAATCCCATAGAAAATCTGTGGAGGGAGCTGAAACTTCGAGTCGCTAAGCTACAGCCTCGGAACCTTCAGGATTTGGAGAGTATCTGTAAAGAGGAGTGGACCAAAATCCCTCCTGAGATGTGCATAAACCTGGTGACCAACTACAAGAAACGTCTGACCTCTGTGCTTGCCAACAAGGGTTTCTCCACCAAGTACTAAGTCACGTTTTGCTTGAGGATCAAATACTTATTTCATTCAATCAAATACAAATTAATTTATAACCTTTATCTAATGTTTTTTTCTGGATTTTTTGTTGATATTCTGTCTCTCTCTGTTAAAATAAACCTACCATAAAAATGATGGACTGTTCATGTCTTTGTAAGGGTGTAAATTTACAAAATCAGCAGGGGATCAAATAATTATTTCCTCCACTGTATGTCCCACTACTGTTCTATCAAATGCAGCTCACACAGTTTTATTATAAAGACTATGTGGAAGAGAATTTATATGGTGGACCATGTTCCCCTGTTCAAGTGCTGCCTAAAATGTTTTTGATCAAATTCAAAGCGACCAAGCAAATACTGTTGTTATGGTGTGTGACATAATGCAGCAGTTTAAACTAAACTATAAATGTACACTGAAGTGCTTAGAATGGAAGCCTCAGAAAGGCCATACCCACAAATATTTTTTTTATCCCGGATAAAGATAACGGAATAATTAAGCTCCGTTATCTGTTATCTCAAGATAACAGACAGCGGAGCTTTGTTTTCTCAAGATGAAGGGATAATTATTCAGTGATCTCAACATAACAAATCTTCACTATCTTAAGATAATAGAATAATAAAAATATATTAAAAAATATTTGTGGGTATGGCCTTTCTCAGCTTCCATAGCTTGGAGCATGGTTGTACAGGTAGAAACATGAATACATCCAAACCATGGATGTTTATTTATGCATTTTATGATGAACTTTGTATGATGTACTTTCTATGTTCCATCTTGTTACCTTTTATATGTATAGCACTTTATAAAGTTCGTGTATTTGGGGTGGGTGTTTAGTACAAACAGTGCCAAAACCTTTAGGTGAACTTCTAAAGGTTATGAACTAAATATGGTTTCACCCATGTCCTCTACTGGACATTCCTCTTACCTTTCTACTAGCCTGAGACAACAACTGGCCTAAAGCCACATGGCCATATGCCCAACCCACCTCTGTAGAAGCCCTATTGGCAGATATGTACTGGATGTGTGTCTATGTGTTTGCATCCGATTGGTTGTTTGATATTTTTTGTGTGTCATACTTACCCAGTTAAACTGTTGCTTTTAATGTATTTTGTGATGACCCTGAAGCCCACAAGCTGAAACGTGTCAGTCTAATAAGATAGTTCTTCTGTATTCTGCGAGTGTTGCTGGAGTTTTCACCTCTTTGGACTTTTTGCTTTCTCCATGCACCTTGGCAGTAGGTGAAGTTGCGCCAGATACTTGTAATAATACAAAAGTCACTTTATTTCTACGTTGAACCTCTAAGATCAGCATTTCCCTCCCCAGGCAGGGAACCTCCACAGACTGTTTCAAATCCCTGACCCAGAAATCTGCTCTGCTCTAACAGAGAGCTACAGTGAGCACCATTTTCAATCATCGTCTAAGTCTGTAATCTGACCATTTTCATTCATCTTTAATATTCTTCATCAAGTCTCATGTATTGTGCAAGCAGGTATATTCCCTCCTACCTTCCAGGTTGTCGTAGCCCAAGACTATGTCCTCCATCTGACCATCCTTCCTCCTGCTGGACACAGACCTGATGATGGCACCCAGGGTGAGGACCTCCACCCGCACCTGGGAGGACTGGAGGACCCACAGGTCCACACTGCCCTGGCTGGACACCTCTCCCCACTGCTGATGGCTCACCTCAGTCATCGTGGACACTTCCAACAACCACAACAGAACAGGAAGTCACCTTAACATCAAAGTTAAAATACTGTTCTATAAGATTTACAGAGAGTAATCAGATCCCTCCACTTTTTACACACTTTATTGTGTTGTAGATTTATTTCTTAATGGATTTGTCATCATTGGTTACTGGGTGTAGATTGATGGATAAAATAGCAGTTTTCTCCATTTTACATTAAATCTACAACAATAAAGTGAAGAGGTCTGAAAACTTTCTGAAGCTGCTAAAGTTACATTTCCTCCAGCTTCAGGGTTACTTCTGACCACAACTCATTACTCACAGTTACAACTGACTGTACAGTGTGACTTACTGAGTTATTGAGGCCATAGGCGGCACGTGTATTTATGCATACACTACATTTGTGCTTATCGGTAGCCTACATGCATGAAAAATGCACTAGCGTCCAAATAGTGAAAATGCCTTTGGAGACACATTGTGTTTTTCGTGTACACAAACAAACAACACACTTGTGCACAGCGCAGTGAACTTCCTGCTGACTGCTGTCATGAAACCACGTGACTGATCGCAACCCAAACTTCTTCACAATAAAATCAGCGACTCAAACAAACATATCAACAGCTGAAACTGCTCTGGTTTATTCCGCTGTCTCTCACCTGCAAACACCTTATTAAGTCATGAGACTTTGGATCTCGACGTGTCATCATCCGACTTCCTATAATGATGACGCGTTAAAGCGAGGGGAAAGTATTCCCTCAGTGCAGCCTGACAGGCAACTTAGAGCAGAATTTTACAGATGCTGGTTTCTTCTCTCTGTCCCAGCTCAAGACATCAAAAACAAAGCCTCAAAAATTGTTAAATTATTTTTAATCATTTTATCTTTATTTATCAATTCATCTGTTCAGTTTATTTTATTTCACAACATGAACATCTACATCCCATCTCCACACTGCCACGAATAAAGTTAGGGAGGGAAAATCATTCTATATTCATCGGCCGTGAAGTAGACACACTTGAACTACTGGCATCAGTTCATAAAATGTCCACTGTGTGCTAATTTTTTTTTGTGGGTTTAAAATCTTCGTATACCCCCAGAATTCCCAGAAAAAAATACCCCTGTCAGTATATGTTGATATTAGTTTATATACAGTAGGGTCATAACATGTTATACCATACAAAAAAATAATGGTAGATATTTTTGATATATGTAGATATACAAATGTTACTATGGGTATTTCATATATGTTATGAACTTATATCTTTATATATCCCGAGGATGTATATATGTGATAATAATACATCTCCTTAAAGGTGATATCTATGGCAACATCACTCTTGACATAGGGACATACTGTATATGTCATACATTACATTTCTGTATGGGTACTCATGAATAGACTTAATTGTCCTCAGTAGTAGTGATGTGTTTGCACCTTTCAAATATGGTTTCATTTCAATATGACTGAATATACTGAGAAGCACCTTATATAGAGATATTTCTTTTATCCTGGGAATAACCAACACAGTGGATGATTATGTGTGAGTTACTTTGAATGAATGGTCTGATGAATGTGTGGCCTATAGTGATTATCCCTATTTAAAACAGCTGACAAAGGCATTTAAAAAAAAAAGACAAAAAAAGATCTGTAAGTTAAGATGTGAGAATGAAAGAAAATACACTGCAGACACTGTTTGGGGGAAGACATTGCTTAACTTTATTCTGCTCTCTCTAAAACAAAACTCCCTGCCCTCCCTGAAAAATATACAGATTTGTCCACAAATGTTAAATGATATCTAGTTATGTACACAGAATATATGTCAATACAGATATTACATGAAACATTACAGCAAAGCTGTTTCCATTTGTCCATTGACAGATTTTTTCACATTATATTGTCTAGAACAAACATGCTCTCCCCTCCCCTGATGACTGAACTATAAACGCACACTGAAGTGCTGAGGGCACGGTTGTACAGGTGTAGTAGTAGAATTATTGTATATACAAATGTTTAATGGTTGCAGTTCTACGTGTGTGTGTGTGTGTGTGGCTTCTTCACATTGTGCTTCTATAGGACTCCTCTGTCAGATGGAAAATAACATACAACAGGAAGTTACCTTTAGAGTGAAGGTTCTAGCCCCACCACCCTCCCGGCCTATCATTGTTACCCTCATTCACATCATCCTCAAACTTAAAATCAGGTTGAAAAGCAGTGTTTGATTGTCCGTTCTGGTTAAAAGTTTCAGGTGTGTAGCACCTGTAACCACACCCAACTGTTCCAGCTGTTTATCATTAACCTAAGTGCATTTCTACATCACTGCAGCAATGCTAGCAGAATAACCACAGCTGATACGATGTGCTTGTGAATGGAACAATACAACAACAAATCATCATCACATCCAGATCAAAATAAACACACAGGCTGAGTCAGTGGTGATCTAACTGCTGTAGAACTGACACTGTGGCCTGTTGGTCTTTGCAAAAGTAATTTCACCTGCTCATAACAACAGCTCATGACAGGTCACAGTATTTCCAAATAAGACAAAACTAATGCGAAGTGTTAGCAAATTGCCTGTTTGCAATCAGACTTGTCTCCCACAGACTCCTCAGTTATCCTGCATGTGCAGCACAGCAGCCAGGCTTTTCTGGTTTAATATAAACACGACCTCAGGTTGTTTATATGTTTCACCATTAACAAAGTCATTTTTGTGCATGAACCGAACCAAGATGAGAAAATACTAATATGAACGTCTGGTCTGTAACTTTGATTTAGCAGATGCAGACGTACAATGTTGTCTTGATGGACTGGCTGACATGCAGGTCTGACATGCAGGATTTTTTTATGCCAGAGATTAACTGTTTAAAATGAGATGATTTTCACACAGCTTATTCATCATGGTCAGTGAGGCTGCCCCACTTTTAGATTAACACAGTCAGTTAACACTGTTTGCTCGTGGCTCACCTCATCACAGGTTTGCCAGATCGAGTGTATGCACTAATTGTACTGCCACCATCAAACCCATTATATTCTGGTGTGATAAAACCTAATGCATTCATGTCATGAATGTCAAATACAACCAGCAAACTGAATTTTCTGAAAGCTCTGACTTATGTGACTTGTCCCTTAAAGGTGCAATATGTAAGTTTTCTCTGCAAAGAGCTTCAGTCGTCGATGCCTTAGTTAGCGTTATTTCTTAATCATCTCATACTGAGTGAGTGTAAGGGCAGGCTGGATGCTACAGTGACTCAAAAAAAAAAACAATATTATGAGATGGGACAGGTTGGGGCTAGCTGGTTAGCATGCTAACTTCAGAGGAAGAAAAGAAGTGCTAGAAAAAGAAACAAAACTAGAATTAAAACTGGTGTTGCTTTCCACCGCAAGTGCGTAAAGGAACGAAGTTTGAAGCTGAACCTACAACGTTTCTTCTGGACTCTTAAGTAAACAGCTGTTAATGCTGTACAGCTGTTCTGGCTATGTAGCGAGAGTAAAAACAAACATATAGCACCTTTAATATTACTGAAGTGCCTGAAAAGGCAAACAGCTTTGGACGCTTCATGTCAGCCGTTGTCCATTGTTCAATTCAACTAAACCTAAATTTAAAGAATATGATGCAACATTGTCAGTTAACCGTTTTCTTATTTGTCACACCACCAGTATGACATCCACACAGCCATCTTAAATTTGTGAATCTATCTGATCTCTACCATCCATCACATATGGCAATGTTTGTGACATCAGAGCACTTCAGTCTGACATGTACAGATGCAAAAAGCACCTTCAGTTAGAGCTATCAATTATTGATTTTGTTACACATAAACTATGTTTGAAATTGCTCTACTCCTGCTTGCACAGTTACATGATACAAACATTCAGATAGACATCCCCAACGTATGCACAGCAGCCTACAGTTCTTACAGTAGGAGCTCAGGACCCTTTGACAGACAACATCCAGTATACCATAAAGGTTCAGGGACTACAGCAGGCCATGCCATGCAGATTTATTGCTTGTTAACGTGGCTCCATTAATTTTGTTGGGCTCTACTCATCAGAATGACAGTGGTTAATTACAGACCGGGCAGTCTGCTTTAAAGTGCTTTGATGGTGGTTGATGAGCTGGTTGTGTTGTAAAAATTCTGGTGATGGACCAGGTCAAAGATACTTCAGTCTTAAAGTAAACTTGGCCCCACTGATTTGGAAGGAGAGTGAGAAAACAAGCCCAAAGCACCGTCCCTTCACTTTAATATCAACAATCTCAGCCAATGATTTTATTTGTGACGGGAGTCATTAAAATTAAAAAATCATTCAAAATTTTTTAAGTCAAATAATTTTGCTGCACAATCCTGAAACTTTATAAAGTGTGTCACTTGTTTTGTAGCAGTTGACACCTTGTATTCAGTAACTTAACACAGTCACATTTGTTTTCCATGTTTAGGTTATATGATGACAAGTGAACAATTTCCATGACAGCAGACAAACTCCAACCACTGCAGAAGGCCATCAGATGTAGCTGAAAGCTCTGAAGGAAATGTAGTAAGTGAACTATGTTAGCTCAACTCACTTTTTGTGGGGTGCCCCGGTGGCTCACTTGGTAGAGCGAGTACCACAAAGACTTAGTCCTACCTACGATCCGACCCATGGCCCTTTGCTGCCTATTCCCTCTCTCTCTCCCTGACTTTCCTGTCTCTCTCTCACCCCAACAATCAGAACAAAGGCAAAATGTCCAAAAACACAACTTTAAAACTGTTTTAAACCTTTTGCTGTTTCTTTGTTCATATTCTGGGTGTGTTTTCAAAATATCATAGTACATTTCTGAATCTCCTGAGACTCTTGAACTTTTAATGATTTACTTGCAGCTGAACGTTGTAGCGGTCAGAGTCTCAGTCTCACAGAACATCATCTTTAGTTCACAACACTGAACAAACAAACTGATACAAGCTCCTTAAGGAACAGATACCATAACTGAAAGTCTGATAGTTGCTTTGAAGTATTGAAGCAGTGCAAACTTCAGTGTATACTGTTATTGCATCCAATAAGTAGAAATAATTTGTACGAATATGTTTGACCCTCTATCTGAATGATGCCACATCCAGATCTTAGTTGCCTCTTTGACCTTCCTGTTTCAGGTGTCAACTGTCATTCAAAGGAAAATGTAATTATCAGTTCTGAATCTATGAACTGTAATTTTTCATAGTTTCTTTGGATAATAATTGTCCCCTGAAGGTGAATCCACTGACCCTTCCTCTACCGCCACCACCACCGCTACATTTACTGTACATTTGTATATGAGAAATATCACAATCTGATGACAGGTTACCATGAAGCTGATTGAATGAAGCACTTTCCTTTAGGCCAGCACTCACACCTTCAGCCCTCCTTCTGTTCAGGGTTTAAGAGCTGGAAATCTGACAGTATGTTGTCAGATTGCGGGGGCTGTTATTGGGGGCACAGAGTGTTAGTCATATGCGTATTTAATTAGTAATTATTGCCACAAAACAGGTGACATTTTTAGAAGCCAATTGAATATTTAATAATATCTGTGCAGTAAGATCATTTGAATTAGAGCATGTTATTGAATAAGCTGGAGAAATCCATACAGCAGATGAGATCCTGTGTTGCTGCAGTGTGCTGGTTTAGCTGGTGTCACTGAGGGTGGCCAGTATGGAGCTGGCCTGTGAGGCAAGTTTACTGCTGCTATGATCTGTCAGTTTACTGAGGCTCTCCTTCATGTTCACAGAGTTCAACTCCTCCTTCATCACACCTAGAGCAGACAGGGGTGAGAAAGAAGAAGAGAGTCTCATGTGAGATGGGTTGCAAACAGCAGCAGAAGTAAAAATGTGCAGATGTATTCAAGCTGTTTCATGTGTTCATGTGTGGATTGTGTATCCCATGCACAACCTTTCCACCTGTCGTTTAAAGTGAGAAACATAAGATGAGCTGCTTTTTCCTTGACAGCACAACAGATATGAAGACATACAGTCAGGACTGATGATCATTATTTAATGCATTAGTTCAACAGACTCTAGAAAGAACATCTAAACCTAAAGAGGCAACCTGAGAGCTGACTGCTGTATGCTGCTTTCAGTATGTCTTCTTACGGCCACTGGGTGCTGGTTCTAAAGAGACTTCAGCGAGCACTTTATTAGGAACAGCACGCTAACACTGGGTAGTTCCTGGGTTCCTCATGTCATGGATCATTTCTGCAGATTCATCAGCTGCACATTCAAGCTGCCAATTTCCTGTTCTACCACATCCCAAAGGTGTTCTACTGGATTCAGGTCTGGAGACTGGGAGGGGGGGGCACTGAAGTTCTCTGACACTCAACACTGTCATGTTGATGTAACCAGTTTATCCTGCTGGAAATAGCCATTAGAAGATGGTGAACTGTGGCCATGACGAAATCTCCACACCATCACACCACCACCACCAGCCTGGACTGCTGACACAAGGCAGGTTGGCTCCATGGATTCATGGATTCCACAGGAAGTGAAACCTGACATGGTCTTCTGCTGTTGTAGTCCATCCACCTCCAGGTTGGACGTGTTGTTACCTCCTCCAAGAATGTTATGTTTTCACCAGTGTTTGTTTGTTGATTGGTTTCATGCAAAAAGTACTGAACTGATTTTCACCAAACTTGGTGGATGGATGGGGAATGGACCAATGGAAGAACTTATTAAATTCAGGTGCTGATCCAGTTAAAGTGCCAGATCCAGCTTTTGTTGAGATCTATGACTTGATCCAGAAAATGATCTGGATCTGACAGAGATGTGTAGGATTTGTTTTTTTTGTTTTTTGTTTTTTTTTTAGTTTTTCTGCTCAGTACAGTTGTAAAAGTGGTTATCTGAGTGACTGTAGCCTTTCTGTCAGCTCCAACCAGTCTGCCCATTCTCCTCAGACCACTCTCATCAACAAGGTGTTTCACAGAAACTGCTGCTGCTCACTGGATGATTTTGTTGTTTTATACACTTCACTGCTGCCACATGATTGGCTGATTGAATAACTACATGAATAAGCAGGTGTACAGATATTCCTAATAAAGTGCTCAGTGATTGTATTTACAAAGTACCAACTTCTCTCTTAACATACAAAGAAATATATTGGGTTCTCGATTGAAATCAGAGCCTTATTTACATATTAAAGTTTAAATGAGACTTGCATGGTGCAGCTCCTGTGGTCAGATTGTTCTCACACTCTGACACATGTTGAGATATGCAGTGGAACAGAGATTCTGTGTAAAAATCGATCACATACTGGAGTTAGCCAGACTGCAGATGAGACCTAAAGCACTGAACTTGACTTCGACCGCCCCCACAGGATCCTCCAACATCTTCTTTAGCAGGGGCAACAGCTCCGCCTCCCCAAAGGGATCCTTCATCGACTCTGCAGTGATCACACAAACACACAGAGACACATATGAGTAAACAAAATGTACACGTTACATCATATACTCTAACTGATTTTTCTGCTCCCTAGTTGGTAGATGGAAGTGTAGCACATTGATTGCAGCTGGCTACACTTGTATGTCATCTCTAGCTGTAGTTTCATTGCTGGAGTGGCCCCAAAGAGCCATGGTTGTATTCAGTTGTTAATTAGCTTCTGTATTCCCTTGTAATGTTTTTTGTGCTTGATGCTATACAAGCAAACAGTTTGCTTTATTTATGTGCAGGGTGGTTATTTGCTTCTGCTTCGTACATTAGCTACAATAGTGGAACATACACACGTGTCAGTGTTTATTTTAAGTCTTGGGCCAATAATAAACCGTGGTTAGCCTGAGGTGGAGCTGTCCAACCACTGTGGTGCTGATTGCTCCTCACGCACAGGCTTGTCTTTCTTTTCTTTTTCGAACAACTAAGAAACTTGCCTGACTCATATCAGCATCAGCTGGTTCTGAAGAACTGCCTTCTTACATGCACAGTATATATGATGTATTGTGCAAAGCATGTGAAGTTATATAAAACCTAAAATAACTGCTCAACAGTGATTAAACAGCAGGACGGTATGGGACATCAAATGATGATCAGATGTATTATAATATATAAACAGTGTCCACAGAGAAAAGGTCACATTAGTCATAAACTGTAAGTCTGAGCCAGATGAGCCATTAACAACCACGACTGAAAACACTATAGAGCAGCATCACCAGGGGTTGAATTACGGGGATGATGGGAGAGACCCCCTTGATTAAGACTTTGACCCCCCAAATGAGGTTGAAATATTTATATATCCTTATTACCTGGAGGAACAGTAATGTTAGCTAGTTCCCAACTTTAACCTTCAGTTACAGTATATTTTCTAACTTAAACCTTCAGGTACAGTACCCGTTTAGCTAACTAGCACATGAGTCTCCCCTGTGCTCTCTGACTACGGTCTTGGAGCTGGAGCCGGAAATGTTAGTTAGTCTACACATCCAGAGATCCAGCCGTGTTAGTCTGTGTGATGAAATACTGTCCAACTATTCACAAACGTAGCGAACAAGGAAATAGAATAGAATAGACATTTCTATGACCTGCTAGGAAGACAACCATCACAATGTAGTTACAAATTCACAATTTAGATTTTCCTGTACTTTTAACTCTATAATTAACATCATATTCTTGATGACATCAGGGCCCATATTTGGCAAGCATCTGGTAAAATCTGTTCTAATTGGCATTTGTGTACCTATTTCAACTGTCCAAACTACTTCCAACCTCTGACAAGATTGAGGAGAACTGCAGAGCTGCCCTTACCTGTTCCAGGCAGGTCTGCTATAAAGGACAGACACGGCCACACTCTTCAGCCTCGCTGAGAGTTCACATATAGATGAAGTCTCTTTCTAGCAGTGACTCTGACACGCCTGATAAATTCAGTCCCAGACCCTTTGACTTTACATAAAACATCTGAAATTGCTTTACCAAGGTCAATGGCAGATGCTATCGCCAGAGCCACCAGGGCCTCGTTCTGCATGATGACATGTTCACTTGTTGCCATGGAGATAAGGTGCCGAACCCCATCTGCTTTGGCCACAGCACAAACAACTTCCTGTCAGAGAGAGGAAATCAGTCCATTACAGATAGTTAGTGTGTGTGTGTGTGTGTGTGTGTGTGTGTGTGTGTCTGTGTGTGCGCGCATATACATAAAGTGTCATCACATTAAACTCCAACAGACTGGGTGTGACTGCCATGAATCAACGGTGAGCGTTAGTTGAACCTAGATCAAAATAAACAGACTCACTGGGCTGCGACTGTGTCTGATGAAGGCAGCCAGTAAGCGACTGGCTTCTCCTCGGACTCCCGCGTGGTCTTTGGCCTCACACCACTCCATGACCCGAGCCAGCAGCACAGCATCTCTCCCCAGCACTAAGGCTGCCTCTTCTGACACACACAGCAGAGAGAAGGAAAACCGTTAACAGAGGAGAACAAAATCAAAAACAAACCAGGAAATCTGGCTACAGGCTGCCACTGAGTTGTACAGGTGAAAAAAAAGTGAAGACTTAAAGTCTCAACTCAAACAACAGTCTGATGCTGTGGGGTGGGAAGAGGGCTTGTGGCCACTTCTTGGCCACTTCTTGTTTTCTCCTACTCACACACAAACCCAGACCCAGTCATTCACAGAGGCTCCCATCAGAACTGACACCACGCTGTTACACGCTCCACTGGACCTCCTGAACTGTCAGTTATTGAAATGTAATATTGTGGAAATCTGCCTCGACCGAGTGGTGCCTACGCATGGTGCCACAGCAGCAACAGTCACAGCCTGTCTTACATACCTCTACGACGTATGTGAATTTTAAAACTCTTCAAACTAACAGTTAATCTCACCTTGTCCGTCCACCATCATGCGCAGTGTCCCCAGCAGTTTGAACTGAACCGGCGGCATGTCAGAGCGCAGCAGGGTCTTTATCCTCTCAGTCACCCCGTCCTCCAGCATCCGCACTTTGTTAGTGGCTGAAACACACACATGTGGTACTGATGCACTTCCTGAGTGTCTCAGTGTGGACGGTGTGTGTGTTTACATGTATTGCTTTGTATGGTTTATAATGACAAAACACATTCAGGACATTAGCGTCCAGCCTGACCCAGGTATTTTTTTGACTCTTGGTGCGAGCATGTATGACTCTGTCCTTTCAAAGATAAGTTACAGTGTTAATCTTCAAGTAATTACTTTGACATTTGGTGAGTGGTGCCATATCTCTACTGTTTTACTCTGATCAGTACCAGGAATGGCCAGGTTCCTCAGCGCGCTCAGTCCAGCGTGTTGAACAGACACATCTCCTTCATCGACATGTTGCTCCAGCAAAGTCAGGATGTGAGGAACCACGCCGAGGTCCAGCATCTTCACACAGTTACTGTCTGACAGAGACACAACAGGCCAAAACCGACACTTTCAGAACCTGATTAGTGTGTGACATTACAGTACACCACATCAAAGTGTAGACATGCAATCCCAACTCACACAAGGTCAGTTTAATTAACACAAACTCAAATGAAGTAATATTGTATTACTTTTAAAGATGTTGGTGTCTAAGGCAACATGTTGATGTTGAATGGCCTATAGCAGCAGTTCCTCTAACAGCCACTAGGTGCTGGTTTCAAACTTGGGGAACTTGTCACACATGACACTCATTAAATTAAGAATGGAAAGAAATAATTAACATAATGTCCAACATAATCCACAGAAAGATCCCTGTACTCCCGGAGATTATTCTTTGTCTTTTTCCAAAAGCATTGTCCCTAAGAACTCATGACAGTAAGTTGGTTAATCGCTGCCATCATGAGAGAAACGTCTTATTGCCATAAGATGGAAAAGTGTTTGTTGTCCATCTTGGGGTCGTTGGATCAATAGCTTTCTTCTTGCATAGTGATTGAAAGGCTTACATGCATCAAACAAAAAACTCCTATTTTTCATAAAATATGGGATTCATTTCTCAATTTCTTGGAATCAATACCTGACAACCCAATTTCTTGAATTTGACATTTACCAAATGAGACTGTACCCTTTTATTTATTTATTTAGATTTGCAAGTATGTAAGTTCGCACATAAACACGTTGATATATGTTTAAGTCATATATTAATTATTATTTTGTAAAGCATCATTACTGTTGTCATAAAAGCTGATTTTGGGAGGGAGGGAAGGAGGGGAAAGTTGTTTCAAAATGTGTGTGTGTGTGTGTGTGTTTACAATCAATAAAGATCAATAAAGATCAGTAAAAATCAATAAACATCAGTAAAAGAAAAAATCAACAAGAATTAGCAACATGTACTTTAAGGACAAAGGTCTTATTATTTATAGATAGATACTTAGGACCAGACATGTGGGACATGTTAACACGTTCCCAAACAATTTAATTAGCTCAGTCAGCTGATGAAAACAAAAGCCTGGAGCCTGTAAGGCCCTTGGAGTTTTGAGGTCCCTGGACAGCAACATGCACTGTCTCTCCCACTGAATATGAAATCAATACAAATCAATCAATGTTGTTTTTGATGGCTTCTTCCTGTGAAGTGTGTCTTGCTGGTGGTTTTGAGGATCTTTCCATTAAGAAGATATTAAATCTTAAACCTGCAATAACTGATTTTTGGCCACTTGTTTTCAGGAGATAAACAGTTAATTGAAAATGAACATATCATCACCTTAGTTGAGATGGGGAAATTGTTAGCAAACAGTCTATTACACATCTATTTACACATCAAGCTGACACAGCAAAATCATTCAGTGTTTACTTCAACCTGATGAATCTTAATCCAGTGTCCCCTCTCTGTTAGCTCTGTGTTGGGTCTCTTTAGCTGCTAAATGCTTCACTATGTTGACCAGCTGCTCTCTGAATGAGTGTGTTTGCTGCTGAGCAGGGAATGGGCTGCGGCTTTTTCCTCTGACAAACATAGATACAAATCTCTTTGCAGTCTGTGATAAACATCTCACCATTTCTGGCGAAGTTGGCGATGGCCAAGGCTCCGGACAGCTGCAGCTGAGTGTTGGAGCTCTGCAGCCAGGACAGCACATCCTGATACACCAGTCCTGACCCCTCACCAAAACACTTCTGCATGGACTCATCTGGCAGAGACACAATAATAATATATGGTGGATGATGTGAGGATGATTTGCTGCAACAGATCAGTAATAAAACAACAGTGGTGCACTGATTTCAGAGATTTCTGCTTTCAGACATACAAAGACTGTATAAAGCCTGTGACACACTACCACCCAGAAAGGTCACTCTGTCCAGATAAATGGGGCAGAAAGCTGTGATAATACTGGAGACAACCTGCCTGGCTGGTCTGTTATGTCATGCCCGGCCCACACCCTCTGCACTTTTCTATCTCTGTCTCCTCCTCCGTCTCTTTCTTTAGATGACAGCTAATGAAATTCAGTCCACACTACATTTATGGTGCATTCACACAGACATGCATGGATGCAGTGAGAGAGGACAAGACATGACAGTCAGTGTTATTTCAACTGACAAGCTGAAAATACAGAGTAAATTACATGCACAGGATTTTCTGATTACCTAAACCAGACTCATCACATCACAAATTTCTTTGTCTGTGCGGGTTGAATGAGGTGAAAGACAGAAACACATGAAAAAATAGTAAATGATATACCTACACTGAGACAGTGTTGTTGTCACAGATGTCCCATGAGGACAAGGACCTGCATCACTCACCTCCTAAAAGCAGGGACACTATGAGGTTGGAGGCGATCTTGATGCTGCAGAGGTCATGGGGGTCAGAACCTCCCTGCAGGCCCCGGATCATCTCTGATAAAGCCTCTGGTACTCCTGACTCTGCAAACTGCAGCTTCAGTGCATCTGGTGGTGCAGGACAACCAGGTCAGCTTTACCACTGTCTTTTGTAAGCATTTTTAAAAACTAACACTGTCTACCAGTAAAAATACAACATCAAGAAAAGCTGCAGCAGTGCAGATGCAACCATTGTCCTTGCTGTTGAAGCTGGAGAACAGTTGTCTGTTGTGATAATTACGGGAGACTGGGGGCGGTTGGAACAAGTCTTATTCCTCCAATCAGAAACATGCTACTCACACATACTAAATATTCTCAGTTAGACCCTCCTTCCATCAGCAAGACAGAAGACACATTCAACATCTGCTGCTGCATTTACTGAAAAAAAAAAAAGGTCAGAGGAATGAAAGGAATTTTTTTTTCATTAGCTATATTTTTGTCAAACTGTCCTTGAGCGTTTTATCAATTCTTTTGAATCATTGTTTTGTTTGATTTGTAAGTGACACGGTTAGCATGTGTCAGTGTGTTTAGCACATATGTTCCGTCATGGCTGACCAGGTAAAGACGGTTGTAACTGTCTCCAAGCTCAGCAGCCAAATCAACACAGACCCACACAACAGTGTGTTTAACATTTTAGTTAGAAATAGAGAAAATAGGAGGATAATTTTGTCCCACAGCAAAACAGATGAAACAATAATTGCTCATTTGAATTATTATTTGTTAGCCTCACATGGTCTTTTATATATTTGCCTGTTCTTTTCATCATAAGCAATAAAATAAATAAATTGTGCCCATTTTGACTGAAGGTAGGTTCCATGTTCTACACAAAACAAAACTCAATAACTGTTCTTTGATAAATATTGTTAAATAAATAAATAATACTATAATATTATTGTTCAACTATGCATATTTTCAGAATACTGTACAAATTGAGACAAAAAGCAAAAGTTTTTCAGTGAAATCGAATGTATTTTTAATTAGTTGCAACCGTCCCTGATCTGTGTTTCAACCGACCCCCGTCTCCTATGTTCTTCTGATCAATGAATATTATCAGCTATTGTTCTCTTTTATCCCTGATAATCTGAATTGTGCATTCCTCTATTGCAGAGCGGACAGTGGACAGTATTTAACTGATATTATATTAAATATAAGTCAAGTCAAGTGGGGGTTTGATTTTTAATCATAGCCCCAGTCGCTTTAGATATGAAAGTAAAGGCTACCTCAGTATAAACAATAATGAAAATCTCTGATGAAGCCTGACTTTATCAGTCCCAACTTGAGAGGTTTTCATATGGATCTCAGATCAAATATCAAGTCAGAGTTTCATCAGTGAGTCCTCCTCCCCGAAGGTCTTACCACTCTCGCCCAGTGCGCCCAGTATCTCCAGGATGACATGTCGGCGTTCGGCATCAGGCGCCCGTTTCAGCTGAAACGTCAGCACATCTGCCACGTCCTGCTCTGCCAGGGCTTCTCTCGCAGAGTCTGCAAACACAGGGGTCTATAACTATGGACAGCGTTGGAGGTAACTAATTATCCTGACTGCCAGTCATCACACAGCTGACATCTACTGCCAGTTGAACACAGCAGCAGATTTCCTGCCCTCCTCTTGATTGGGGTTAAACAACAGTGTATTTAAAACCTCTGTTCTTCTGAGACAAGCTTTATTGCTTCATCCTGGTGTTTTCACTGTGAGCTGTAACTCAGACTCATTGTTTGACATCTTCAGAGATGAGATGAGTTGGAGAAGCAGTGAATCAGATCTGTGTTTGTGTGTTGCTTCTTCCCACTGCTTTCTCTCAGCGCTGTACGCAAACACTTTAAAAACCTCACTGACCGACAGTGTGTTCCAGCATTTACTCCACCCTTGTACCTGTGAGCAACTTAGTCTGTTTTATATGAGTGACAAGGGAAACCCATGAGAGCGAGATGATATGTCTAAATATTGAGACAGTGTGATTCAAACCATGGAAAATAATGATAAATTACTACAATGAATAAAATCTAAATAATCACCCATGTCAGCCAGGTTACAGAGGGCCAGCAGGCAGACATTCACCAGTGGGTCATTCTCTGGATACTCCCTCATTATGGACACCAGTCTGGGGATGACACCGCTCTGGACTAACTGGTCCTGTTGGTACGCTGGGTGGGAGGTCAGAGAGAGAGACAGGGGAAGCGATGAAGAATACAGTGACTGATTTATTCTGGTATTTGTTTTTAATACAAAAAGAATCATTTCTTTAAGGTCAGTGTTTCAATTTATGGCCAAGACAATTGTATACAATTAATCACATTTAACGGAGGGTAATAAAAAATGAAAGCCATATACATAGCACCTAAAGATGCAGAGAGACTGTCAGCCTCTGTCACCCTCAACAGAACAGCCTCTGCTTCATCAGCACACTCTTCATCATCAGTAAAGCCTTGTGACTGAGCCAGCACCGTCACACCAACTCACAGTTGTCAAAGCAGATGCGCCCGATGGCCCGGCCAGTGTTCAGCAGCATCTCCGGGTTATTGCTGTTCAGATGGGGAACCAGCACCTTCACCAGGCCCGCCTCAATGCACGGCTCCCTGACTGCAGCTACAACACACACAACCATGAGACGTTACCTCTTCAACTCTGGTATTTCCCTTAAATGTACAGCAGATACTTAAACCTGCTGTATTTTATCACTATTTGCAGTATAGTATCTTGTTTTCTATTCTCCAAAAACCTAACAGCTAATGACCAGTGTAGCAGGGTCCCACTGTACCTTCACGGGCCATCTCTGCCACCACCAGAGCCACCTGGCAGGTCAGGCTGCTTTTCCTCTGTAAGGCCTGGGCCAGCGTGGGTAGAATCCCACTTCTGGCAATGTCAACAGCAGCATCTTTCTCTGTGGACACACAACAGCAGGAATTCAAACCACAGCCTGTACTAGAGATATGTGGGGTTTTGAGTTTACACAGTGAAGCTCTGATGTGACTTTGATGACTGCAGGTGTTTGCATTAAAAAAGGCACCGTCACAGATGGTTTTGGTGGCCTCCTCACCTTTTCTCTACTGCCAACGTCACACTTTCACTTTTATTTAGGTGACAGGCCGGATGCAACATGTACTTTAAGAAGGTCTTATGTTTTATAGATAGGTACCTAGGACCAGACATGTCAGACATGTTACACATTCCCAAATTGAATTAGCTCAATCAGCTGACCAAAAGCCTGGAGCCTTTAAGGTCCCTGGAGTTTTGAGGCCTCAGGGCAGCTACATGCATCGCCTCTACCACAGAATATGAAACACAGTTTTTTCTATAAGCAGTTCAGGATCCAAGATCACCTATTCCTGTGAAGTGTGTCTTGCTGGTGGTTTTGAGGATCTTTCCATTAAGAACATATTAAATAATAATATTAATACTTGTTTTCAGCAAAAATAAGCAGTTAATTTGGTTAGTTGTATCACCCTGACAACGAGTTTTCAATTTGCACACAAAATCCAGGCTAATGTAAAGCACTGGCTTTCAGTCACACACCTACTACTGCCTATGTCATGTCAATTTTAGATGAAGGTCACATGTCTGAAGCGCCTGAGTCGCTTTTAAAAATCAGTCTGATGAGGTCAAACCTGCAATGTTTCTGTAAGGCTACAGCAAAAAGCCATTAGGGTAGAGCCATTTTGGACTGCGGTGCCTTCATTTTGAATATATGATACCACTTCACAATAAGACTCCCCTTATAAAGGATTTGTGAAAGGTTTTCAACTAGTTAATTAATTAGCTTGCTAACACTTTATAAATGATTTATAAGCTGTTATAACACAGTAGATAAAAATGGGCGACAGTGACCTGTTGCTTGCCAAATAGTGAGCACACATGTATCTGTACTGTTGAGCCTCATATCTTTTGTTTTCATATCGTTTTCTCCATCATCATTTGTAGCTGCTGCTTCATCACCTTTGTTCAGTTACTATCAATGAACCACCATCAGCATCTTAATGGTCAAATCGTTTCATTTGACAGATCAGATTATGGCAGATCACATGATCATATCACATGACCAGATTCATCCTCTGAGGGCGTGCCAGTATTGTTTACCTTGACATGCTCTCAGCAGCCGTCCTCATTATAATCACAGCTGTTGATCAGACTCTTCTGCACAGTGGAGATTAACATGGAGATGCTTTTTGCTGGTTGGTCTCTTCTTTACTTTAGCATTCCAGGTAGAACACAACACTTTTCTTGGTATCTCATCTTTACAACCATTTATGAATGAATTACTAACATTGTTAACTGGCAAAGGAGTCGTATTGTAAAGTGTAAAACACATCCCCATTTATTAATGAATTACTATAATTTATAACTGGTAAAAGGAAGCCTAATTGATTTAGTAGTCGTTGTTTATTAAGTAATCACACATAATACAGTAAATATAAACAATATAGACAGAAAAAACAAAAACAAAAAATAAAGTGATCGGCCTATGTACTAAGTAGTGACTGAACAGACTTGTATATGCCTGCCTACATTCTTATCAATACAGTAACTAAAAGAAAAGAAAATCATTCCCACTTGTAACCTTCAGATATATCTCCTTTTCATCCTTTTTTTTTAGCTTTTTGAACCATAAACTTACAAACATCTCTAAAATCATATAAACTAGAAAAAACAACTATCCAGTGTAATAAGTATTGTGAAAGTTGAAACTGTACTATGGCAGTCAGAAAAAAATCTGGGCCCTTCCGATTGTATATGTGAAACTAAAAATCCTTTATTTGAATATGGATGCCAACGCGTTTCGAGTAATTAATTACTAATTAATGAGTAGAAAGCATTAACTTGATCTTGCCAAATAGTGAGCCTGCATCAATGTATGAAAACTGTGAGAACTTGTTTATAATTGTTTATTTATGTTTTTTAAAGTGTTAACAACCAAATGAATAACCTAATTATAAACTATTTATAAATCCTTTATAAGGGTGGTCTTATTATAAAGTGGAAATGAAGACAATGAGTGAATGTATCAGAGAAACTACAGGGCAGATCGAGAAGTGAGAGCTGACATGAAGCCAGCAATGTTTCATATTCCTTATTCCACATTCATCTTCCCCAGAACACTCTGGGGAGCATGAATATTTATTTCTAGTAATGCACAACTTTCTTCACTTGCAGAATGAAAGGGCTGAGCTACAGATGACAGAAGGAAAAGTAAAAACCATCATGGCCTGTTTAGTCTAACCTGCACATCAGAGCTAAGCTGTGTGAGATGGTGCAGGTGTGTGACATGACTTACTCTTTTCCAGCAGAGAAGTCAGCACCGTGTCCAAATGAGGCTTGAGCTCCTCTTCAATCAACTCTGTGCTCACACTGATAGCCTTTAGTGCCTCACTCAGAGAGTCTGCAACACACACACACACACACACACACACACACACACACACACCACCACCACCACCACCACCAGACAACAACAACAACAATAAAAGTTAACAATATGGCAGCTTTAAAAGACTTCCTTATCCCCCTACAAAAACACATGAACACTAAATTTTGCATAAATGAACAATAACAAAACAAAACATTAGCAGGAAGTGTATGAGGTACAGCAAATGGTGTGAGCATATGTGTATCACTAGAGTTATAACTGGAAGTGTCAGAATAGCATTGGCTGCATGAACCCTATGAGACTGGACTGGTCAGCTGATGCCCACTCAGCTGTGAATCAGCTGGTGATTGTGAGGCATGAATGAAGCAACTGATGCCCAACCTGTGGGCCATGAAGGTATTGCAAGTGGGCTAACAAAGCATTTGCAAACAGTACAATTTTGGTGACAAAATTTAATAATAAAAAATAAAACTATAGATAATGTTTTAAATGTTTCAAAATGTAATGATCTTTAAAAACATAAAAAATGTTTAAAAACTTCTTTCATTGTTTTTTTTTCTCATATTAAGGCCTATCACTGTGATAAGCCAATGATGGGAACTTTTACGTTGTGCACGTCCTACTTGTTTGCAATCCTAGTCTGATTGTGCACTAAAAGATTGCATCTATGGCAAAAACTGGAGGATCAAAATGGACAGCTGTCAGCAACAGGAAGAGTTAAGAGGAAAGAGAGACAGAGACAGATGGTGATCTCTCCCCATCAAACAAAAAAGAAAAATTGAGCTTCCTGCATGTTTCCCTGCTTTCAGTTCAATCCTGAATGTTTGATCATCATCATTATAATAACAAATGTTCTGACAACATATTATTTGGCCTCCGTATTGTAATTTGGTTGGATGTGGATCACAAACATTTTTGAGATTTTCAAGTGGAGTATGAAAAGGTAAGGAAAAGGTTGGGAACCCCTGGTGCAAATAAATACTCCACCTTTGGACTACTAAAGTGTTCAGTGGTTATTTCTTCATCAACCCTGCACTCATGTTGAATGAGTTGTAAATACTGTATTAGTCCTCATATATCTGAGTGTATTGAACCGAGAACTTTCTTGCTGTGAGACAACAGTGCTCATCACTGCACCAACGTGATGCCCCACACCTCTACATTGGCAAATATAAACAAGACTAGGTCTAGACCTAGTGTTATGTCTGGACTGTCTATGGTCAAATCCTGATTTTATAACTGTGAGATCGTCTGACAAAATCACCAAACACATATATGAAAGAAAGACTGAGCTGTGATTTCAGATGGATTTACTGTAACATGGTCACTCAGAGAGAACCTTAGAAGAGACGGACTGTCTTTCTTATTTTTTACTTAATTTTTCAGGCTTTTCCCTTTATTACAGCCAGAGAGAGAGAGAGAGAGAGAGAGAGAGAAAGAGATAGAGAGAATGACATGCAACAAAGTGCCACAGGCCGGTCTTGAACCTGGGCCACCATGGCAAGGACTAAGCAAAAATGACATGCTCCACCAGGTGAACCACCGGGGCCAGAGACAGATTATCTTTGTTATTGAGTCTCTCACACAGAGCACAGCCTCCGTCTGGATCCACAATAGTTTAATCTTTATTTACTTCAGCTCCAGAACGTCACAGACTTTTATTAGAGGCAGGTCTTTATGTCTGCCTCCCTCTGTTTAATATGTAGAGTTGGTCATAGTCGTTAGTACGAAGCCTTGTTACTGATGTCCTCTCTCCTGCTCTCTCTGTTCGCTGTGTCTTACGTTTAGTTATTCCTCTGCCTCCTTTAGTAATAATGATACATGGAATCAATGTAGTTTATTTGCTGTAATGGAGGCAAGGCTCAGTGTATTGGAAGTGCTCCTCCTCTTCCCTGCAGTTGCTGAGCAGCCGGGAAAACAGAGCAGCTCGATAGACTGTGGCTCATCACCAGTGGTTGAAATATGATCAGTCAGTGGAATTCATGATTGTAACATGTCTGCTTTATTGTTGGAAAGCTGATATCTACTGTAACACATTAGCTTAATGTGTTACAGTAGATATGTTTGAGCACAGAGGATAATTAAAAAAAACTATTCGTAGATCATAATATCGGAGCAAAACCCACCAATAAATGTAAACCATACAGACTAGCATGACAAGACAAGCTTCATGATAACAACTGAATCAATGTAGTTTGGAAATCGCCCTGTCTCTGCAATATTAGTGGTCCAGCACTTAGTGGTTGGTCCAGGAAAAGAGGTCGAACAGCTACTAGAAAGGATATTATAAAATCTGGTATAGATATTCACTGACCCCGGGGAATGATCCTGGATAATTCTGCTGACCCTGACCATTCAAAGTTTCATCCTGATATAGATACAACATGAAAAATATCTTGAAATGAATGATTAGACTACCACAAAATTTATTGTGGATACTCACCCCCAGAGGATGAAGGGATATGTTCATTTTGACCTCCTGACCTTTCCACCATCAACTCATATCACTATAAGAAATATCAAACTCTTAAGGGCAGATTAGAACGTAATATACATATATCCCTACATCCATGCCCCTCAGAGGAAAAACATCACAAACATTCAGTGTCATTACAGGAAGCAGTGCACCCGTTACGTCACAAGGCACAAAGTAAATGTGTGGAGGTCGACTATGACCACGCTTGACTTTCATTCAGGAGACTGCCCCTGTCACAGCCCTGCAGTTAACTTAGCCAAGTGTTTCAGTCGCCTGACCTTAACCCTCATTTATTTTCCACGACCTCTTCTGTTTTTCTGACCTTAACTTTACCCTATATGCCATAGGCAGAAACAGGAAGTGAGAACAACATTGCTGGTGAATGTAATCTGTGGTTTTAGTTAATTCAGTTAGTTAGTTCAGTCTGATTACAGCCTTTCAACCTGAGACATCTTCAATCATTTGGTCCATTGCTGGCAGCTCAGGTGCAAGCTTCAGGAGCTGCATACACAAATGTACATACAATAAAATGCATTACACACACACACACACACACACACACACACACACACACACACACACACACACACACACACAGAGTGAGGAGAGACCTGCAGATGGTAATCACCTCAGCTAATCCGTTGTAAGTCGAATGAAAATAGCCTGAGTGGAGGGGGCTATCAGGCTAAGACAGCCTGCAAGGTTGGGATCTAACCCCCACGTCCTTGTGAGTGTGTATGTGTGAGTGTCTGAGAGAGGGAGAGAGAGAGAGAGAGAGAGAGCGAGAGCGAGACTATGTTCATGCGTCCATGTGTGTTTGACAAGAGAGCAGGCGAGCAATTTACTAATCAGTCCCACAGAGAGATGTGAGGGAGTCCCCAGGGTGCTTATTACAGCGTCTTCAACTACTCTGCATGTTTCCACATATACAAACATACAGGCTTGTCTACATACTGTAACACACATATATGTAGCAGTTTGGATGTAATAGAAGGAACAAGTGCACAATCTAATCCAATACAACAGTCCAGCAATAAATCCCATGAAGCTTCTTATGTTTAGTGGTGCTCAGACTGTCAGGGAGCTGTTGATTCACCCCTGTGATCATTTTAAATAAATGTGCAATGCTTCCACTGGCAGCAGTTAGCAAGACGAATAACAGTCGGCAGCAGCAGTAGTTTGTGATGAGGCTGGGGTGTTGGGTGGTGGTGTGTCTTCAGCTTCTAATGCGTGACAGCCAAAGGCAACTGAATAGTTCCTGTTCCTCCACTCTGGAGCTAAACAGAGCACTCTCACTGGCCACTGACACAAACAGCTCGATGTTGCTGGGGTTGTCTGGACTGACACTGGGGAGTGGTGCAACTCCACGCCTTGCACCAACACAGATGAAAATATTTGAAATTCAATGCAATGCAATGCAAAAAAACAAACAAAAAAAACAGAGAGAGGAGCCCCTGCTTTACTATTTGGAAACAATGATGTTACAGGCGGTGTGTATTAGAGACTGACTCTATCTATCTATCTATCTATCTATCTATCTATCTATCTATCTATCTTTTGCTATTCCCCTTATACACACATTGAAACACACACATTCCCTGCTGTGTGATGCCTAAAATCATACAACTGCACAGTGGATGTTCGATATGAGGCTACTCACCGGTGTCTGTCATGGCTGCTGGTCGGCAGGCTCTCTGCTGGCTGGCTCACTGCCTCTGCCTGCTAGCACTGTCTATGTGTGTGTGCGTTTGTGTGCGTGTATGTGTGTTTGTGTGTTTGTGTGTGTGTGTGTGTGTGTGTGTGTGTGTGTGTGTGTGTGTGTTTGGGTGTGTGGCAAGCAAAGGAGCTCCCCTCCCCTCCCCTCTTAAGGTCAGGTGTACCCCAACTCTGTCTCTCACTCTGTCTGTTTCTCTCTACTCCTCACTCTCACTCCCTCGATCCCATTATCCATCTCTCTCTCTCTCTTCCTCTTTCTCTCTCCATCCTCCCTGCCCCCACTGCGCTTGCGCTCTCTCTCTCTGCTCATTTGCTCTCTGTTCCCACCTTGATCTTCCTCTCTCTCTCTCTCTCTCTCTCTCTCTCGCCCTCTCTCTCTCTCTTTCTCAATTCACAAATTCAGATAAGCTTCATTGTTCAGATAAGAGTATCTACTGCACATAAAAACATGATAGACAATAAATAAAGACAAATAAACGGCCTAAAATCTGGAATGTTTTTTGAATGCAATATAATGTTTCTCACTCATTGTCATTTTTTTTACAACACTGAAAGAAAAAAACCCTCTATTTTACAGAAATATTTAATGGAATAATATTTAGCTATGGATAAGACCACCTACTCAGAAACTGTTTGTTTTGTACTGGACTGAGCGTAACAGCTTGAACTAGCAGCACACTGAATGTACTGCAGAACTGAGGACAGTAGAATCAGAATGATGAACTGTGATGCCTTTACAAACTACAAGCTACAAAAAATGACTTGAAAAGTCATTGGTTATTTTCAGCTCCACTCTGGACTGTAGACTGTACTTAAAGATGGACGTAGCCTCTGTGAAGTCACTCACAGATTTCTCAAGAGCAGTTTTGAAGCTCAGAGTGAGCTGCTCCATCTTGGCAGTGTCTGACTCCGCCCCTAATTCCCATCTAAAACAAAATTGGACAAAGAGGAGGGGCCTGTGTGGAGCTGAGACTTCAGTGCATGTTGGGAGCAAACGCTCTCATTAGCATTGTTAGCAGAGCTGGGCATCTTGCTCGAAGCTCACCAACCAGCTAACCCAAGGCTAATTAGCTATCTAACGTGGTAAGCTAACAAGCCAGGTATGATGAGCACAGACATTGATACCTGCTAATTATAGCTAACATATAAATAAAATAAGAGCAGAATTTTACTCACCTCAAAATACAGGAGGACACACTTCCTCACATTCTGTTCAACTAACCAGCACAAATTATCTGTCTGATATTTACATGAAGAATCCTCCAGAAGGCACAAACATGGCCGAGATGTCACGTTCAGCGACTCAAATTAAATGATGTAATGCCGAGCAGACAGCTAGCAGCCAGACACTGAGCAGCTAGCCAACTGTGACAGCACCCATCTGTCACCCCCTCAATTATTTTTTTAAGCCTGAATAAGATTTAAAAGAGTGAGTTACATAAATATTCACCACCTGTTGTCTCAATTAGCTCTAGAGACCAAAACTGTTTTTGCACCAGGCTGTAAACATGTTTATTTCTGCCGTAAAGTTGGACATTTTAACATGGGAGTCTATGGAGACTGACTCACTGTTGGACATTTGTCATCATGGACAGAATGATTAACATGTGGTTAAGGTTGTGGTTAAGAGAAACTGGGTTTTGTTGACTGGACTTCGTCACTGTGCAGACGATGTCACTCTATAACAATATCATCTGACTTCCTTCCATCATGATTAGAATGGCCACTAGAAGGTGCTGCTGAAAGACTGATGCTGTGTCATGTGACATGTTAAAATAAAATATAACTCTGGGTTGTAAAAAAGGTTCTTGCACAACCAACCTATGTTTTTTAATTTTTTTTAATTTTTTTAAAATCAGAATTTAAATCGGCTACTGTACAAGAGTTCATCTCTTTTTCCAACAGTAACAGTTTCACCTCATGCCTCTGAATCTCAGTCCTCTCCATCCTCCTACCTTCACTTCTCTCACTCTGTCTCTGTCTCCCTCGGGTGCAGGCTGCCTTCTCTCCCTTCTCCCTAATTCGCTCTAAGTCTATTCAAAGCTCATCAGTTGATTATCAGCTGCACAGAGAGAAGCTGAGGCTGAGATACAAAGCAGGGAGTTGTGACACAAACACACTTCTTCCTGCTGGGGGTTGTGACTGGAAAATGTCACAATGTGTCACAACGCAGGCACCACAGTAAATGAATAGAAGAGCTGGAGAACAGTATTATTTCTGTGTGGGTAGGAGAAGAGGATGTCTGGGTCAACTGGAGTGTCTATCCTAAAGTGAGCAGTCAGCTGTTCTCATGGGGATATGTAGTGTACATAGACTTTATCCCAATACAGAGTTCCATTTGAAACAAAACACCACCACCATGACTGATGCCTTCCTACAGTGGCTGCAGGTAGAGTACCACTAGTGGCCACTCTGTGGAGTAGAGTAGAGTGCTGCAGGAATGAGTCCTAAAACAGCTAAATTAGTTGCATTTTATCATCCTGTTCCCTCATCATGTGACAGTGATGTAGTTGGTTTATAGCCTAACATTAGCTTTTTACTTCTACTGATTGTATTTAGGCTTCAAACATCATAAAGTCAACAAAAGCTGTCAGGATCATAAACTGTTGTTTGCCACAGATCTTCTTTTCTGCAATAATGCTAAGCTTTCTGTCGAGGGAACCAGGGTTATGGTAACTTAAGTGTTGGCCTTTAAAAATACATCATCCCTGATGCACTTTATATCACTGGTGGTGAACATACTGTATTCACTAAAACTCAAAGTAAAAGACATTCTGTCTCTGTATATAATTAGCATTTCTCTGTAAGTGGTCAATCTTAGCTTAGCTTAGCTTCACTTCAGGTAACATGCATAGTCATAATATTAATGCTTAAACACATTATTGGTTTTTGTTTTGTTCTGTTTTTTTGGCCCCTTGGGAAGAGAGGAACCTCCACCACAAGATAAAACCACATCTGGCACCCTGACTCCATCTCCGTCTGGTATCAACAAGTTGTCTATATCTGTGGTATCTGGATAATCACATCTTATCACAGGCCTTATCTTGAATCTGCAACATTGCTATCTTGATTGTGATCTCATTATGCAAACTGGGTGGGCCAGGTCGGTGGACTCAGTGTGCTTCAGGAGAAGTGAGGCAATGTGGATCCTCTTGAGGGACCACTGAGGTGAAGGTCACGTGACAGATGGACACACCTGAAAGCTACTTATTGCAGGCGAGCTTGTTTAGCTCATGTTACATAGATTTAAACAGGTAATCAGAGCCAGTGGAGCTTGTTGGCACTAATGCTAGATCAGCTACCTTCACTGGTCATGTGATCTTTGTTTTGCATTTTATAGTGTTCAAAAGTACATGAGCTCAAAGGCCCAAAAGCTCTGCAGAGCTGGTGTTGGTCCTCTGTGGGTTCGTCACTGTTTATGTCATACTTTTGACTCATGTTAATGTAGAAAATATTGACTAGTACAGCTTTAAAGACTGTACTGCACACAGCATGTGTGCTTGGTTGACAACTTCTTCATAAAACTGTGGAGACATCACATTTGTCTACAGTCTTGTCTTACATTGACCTCTCCTCTTCTTCCCCCTCCTTCCTCTTCCTCTGTCTCCCCTTTTCCTGAGATTGCTTACTGAGAACTAATAAATCAAAAAACAGTTAGAAAGTTAAAAGTAAAAAAAAGTTCATTTACAAAGTCAGTAGTGAAGTTTCTCACAGGAGGCAAAAACCACAGCTGGGAAAGCTGAGAGAGAGGGAAGCTAACGGCTGGATTTCTGCTTCTTCTGCTCTCTGTACAGCAGGGGGCGTGCTTGTGCCTTTATCTGCTCATGGAGGACAGTAAACAGGACTGGTCCTACATGTGGTGGTCACCATCACAAAACCCCACCCCATCCTGGCTTACACCCAGTTACATCATCTGGATATCAGTATGAAAACAAGGCATGATGTAACCCTCCTTTTAAACGGCCTGAGAAAACCTCAGGTGAGGTAATGCACACACACACACACACACACACACACACACACACACACACACACACGCACATACACAAAATCACTGAGGGGATGAGTGGCATTCTTCTGGAAGATATTCCCTAATTTGGTGTCTTGTGGATGGGGGTGTTGTCATCTGTTTCTCCACTCATTTTACACGTCTTTCCGTCATTGTCTGCACCAGAATAAATATGTTCTTTTTTTTGTTTATAAAAAAAAGCTACACTTAAAGTGGCACATAATGTGACCTTTTACAAGCTCCCATAATTAGCTTTGCTAGTTATGTTTTGGCTGTAAATGCTAGAGCATGATAGTCGTGTGACTAAGAGCAGTGAGAAAATCTGAGGAAATGCAATTAGAGCATCAGTTAAGAGCTTAATTTATTGAACCCTGACTTAAGTTCATAACCTCAGTTATAGATCTTATTGACAGTGTCAGGCCACAGATGCTCTCTAGCCAGAAAACCTATTTACAGTACTCAATACTAAAGATTATACAATAACTCTTTATAATACAGCCTGCCAGTTGAATCAGCTACTAATAAAATATTGAGTGAAGTTTGGGGGAAAACAGTGTTGGCAAACTTTTTTTTATTGTGTAACACCATTTATTCTTTGTACTTATGGCACGTATCAGAGGCAATTAGTGTACTTTTTACTTCACTACATTTATCTGTAAACTGTGGTTACTAGTTACTTTGCAGATTAAGATTTAACATACAAAACATATGATCAAATTATAATATTAATTCTATTATTAATTATTATAATTATAATAATAAATTATGATCCATTTTTGTAGATTAAATTAGATCAGATGAATCAGTTTTGAAAACTATCACTCTGAAGTTAAATCATACATCTGCACTGGGATTATGATTGTAGTACTTTCACTTTTTACACTGTTGTATTGGTATTTTTACTTAAATAAATGAATATGATCTTCCACCACAGTGTATCATACTGCACCACTGGACTGGTGCCTGTAGCAGCAGCAGTTGTCCACCTGTCCATATGCATCAATCCTGAAATACATCAATCA